AAACTTGAAAAAACAATGTGCAACAGCCCCATGTACTTTTAAAGGAAGAAGTTAGGGATTTTATTACCGGTTGTTTTGGCCAGACGAGCTTTACATAATGATTTGCGAATGTACAACGCCTTGTGTTCGATACCCATGTCCAGGGTAAAAGAACTGCCCTGGCTTAAGGGTCGCGTATCGGCGGCATTTGACTTCGGGCGTTTTGCTGGCGGACTGAGAAAATCGGTTTCGGTGCGTACTTTATTACATAACATGTGCTACCAATATGCCGGAAGAGAGTCGAGTTGACAGTTCGGAGGATGCGGGCGTTCGTGAATCTTTTAGCAGGGGGCGAGGCTCTGTGAGCTTTTTATTACGGTCGACCTTATATTGGTCAGTTATATACGCATAAACCATTTTAACAACATCAACTAACACTTAGAGCATCCAACATCCAATAGTTAACATGCAAACAATGATCCCCTCCAAAGTTTCAGGGACTCGTTCTTTTATAGAAGAGTTCTGGGAAACTTGGATATGATTGGTCCCATCCTTTCGGGAACTGTTGGAGTGGCTTCTATTCTTGATTCCTTCCATACCTTCAGGCTATCGGTGCTTGCGAACGTCTGAAGGTTCCGGTGCTACTGTAACATTACGCATATAAACCTAACACTTAACAGCCAAAGCTATTAATTCTATTAAGGTCTTGGAAGAAACCTTAACACTCTAACAGCCAAACTGGTTAAGTCACCTGTAGAATTAACATCTGTAATAATTAGTTGGTAAAGACGATTCCTGGATTATTCTGATTTTAGATTCACCCACATCGTGCTTAATTGGTTCAGACATGTTCGGCTGTTGAGTTCTCATTTGCGACGGCTGCCCGGCGCGGATGATTGGGTCTTGGACTTTTTTATTTTAATGCCTTTTAAAGAATATTTTAGGAAATATAGGTCTCCAGGATACTTCTCAATCCGCAAAAATTATTAGGGAATAGTTTGATAACTCTTATATATCACTAATTATATAGTGGAAGTCATAGTATAGACAGATGGTCGTTCAGTTTATACTCTTGATTATCTTTTCGAGTATGATTCTTACAATAGGGGCAACGCATTATCTCAATGTTCAGCATGTATAGTCGTTCGACATCGAGACTCTACAAGTGCGTTACCTTAACATCTCAGCTGTTATTTAACCACTACAAAAGTATAACATATACACACGTTGGACTACTTCAGGTTAGCTTCGACATGTCTCAGTGGAGATTATCTTGTAGTGCGTGTCTGGTGTCACTATAGTGAACTTGTAATTTTCTTTTTCCTCCTTAACCCGATCTTCTTGACATTTGGAAAGCTCAACTAGATCGTTTGTAGCGTGGCCTTACAGGTGCGTACGTGCCTGTTTGACCGGTCGTTGACTATGGGGTTGAACGTCGTAACGATTAATTTTTGGTTGGCAAACGCGTTTTGACTGGCGTTGACACTAGCCATTTCGCCATGATGATGAGCAGTGGGTGGACGACCGACTTGGAGGCAGGGAGGATGGTGAGAGCGAGATATCGTGGCCACGGTCTGTCGCTCACATTGGCCTAAAATGGCGGGTCTTTCGGTCGGTTTAGGAAGCGAGGGAGGATCTTCGTGTTACCGCCTGGCTTTGGTCCGGTTGGATATTGCGACGGCGAGTCTATTTCAATCCTTTCGCATTGAAACGTCGGTATCGGACTTGTTTGGATCGGCAACGGCGTTTGACTGGGCGGTTGGACTACGTCGTTCATGGGGTTACGCTTGCCGCCTTAACCATTAGGGTTTTGGGTGAAGCACGCGGTTGGATTGCTCACGTCACAGACGCTCTTTGCCTAACGAGACGTTATAGAAGCTGGCGACGTCAGTGAGCTCCCTCGGGTACTTATCAGGCGGAGGATGGTGAGGATTTTGGGGCAAAGCCCGCCTACTTCGTACTAGCCATCACTATCGTAGGGTTTGATGAGCCTTTACGCGACCACACGTTTGGAGTCGGGTTAGCATGCAATTATCTAAATCCGTTTCGTCAGCGTGGACGTTGTCACAAAGAGAGTTATACCGCGCCTAGTGGCTACGATAATTGGAATACGTAGACCATTCGATCGTTTCTCACGGGGAATAGGAGCCCCGCGACGCGTGTTAGCGTTGACTTTAGGATTTTTGGCTAACTCTCCCAGCCGTTCAAGCGTGGATTTGATTACTCTTTACGAACTACCCGGGTTTGAGTCCGGGGCTAGCAGTGCGGATTGTTCTAAATCCGTTCCGCATGAGTGACGTATGATGCTAGCCGATATGTATTTTCAACTGCTCTTAGTAGCTATACGAATATGGGAATAGACGGTAGAACCGAGTGTGTCTTCTCTCACAGGTGAGTTATTACGAGACTCACCTACAACCCTAGAAGCGCGTGTTTGCGGTTTTTCGACGGAGAGTAAGCCCAGTGGTAGACAAGAGTGCGGGGCGTAGAGTTATGGAGCGACTGAAGTTAAGAGAGATTGTAGGAGACGGTAACGCCCCCTCACGATAGGTATAGCCGGATTGTCGAGACCGGGATTGATGTTAGCCATTCTCTTAAGCGCTACCAGGACTACCCGTTTGAAAAACGTCGGGCGCTATAGCGCAGTGCGAGATTGGTTCGTAGTCAGAGTAAGCGCCGGCTGACGGCATATAAACAGTTGTGCTAAAAGAGTGAATCTCGAATGTGAGGAGTTTGACAGCGTACGTCGGAGCGATTTTCTGGCGGGTTGAGTGAGCTGGAAGGAGCTAAAATGAAGTTTATTGGAGTGGTATTTTGGTTTATACCAAAACTA